TTCATGAAAATAATCTCAGTACAAATGTCTTCTAAAGTACTTTTCCACTGTGGAAATCCGCCTCTTTGTAGCGGCGTTATAGCTGTTCCAAGTGGCCCAAAATCCCATACAGTCACTGTAATTTTAGCGGTGTTTGCACCCCAGCCAAGATGGCATCATAAACCGTGAAAAGGTCTATTTGCTAACAGATATTTGTTGCTTCTAATCCTTTTTTTTGTCGAATAAAAATCGAACTCAAATCACTTGATTGCCATATCCATTTTTATCTATTGGCTACTCCGGGGTGTAACTACACTCAGAACTACACCGACGTTATTTTGAAAGGGCGGCCGGGTCTTAATCGTGACTGGGCACCTACCCGCCTATTTTAACTCATTCGCCCCTGAACCGCCTGTAACCGCCCGTGTGGATCCAGGTCCTTTCTATCCTTTGTGATGTCATCAGTTTTAACGGTCAAGGACAACTTTCTTCGCTAACTTGTGTAGAGTGAAGAGATCTTTCAAACCATACCGGAATGAGCACAATTCAGTCAAGGACACCAGAGAAAGAAGCAAAAAACCATGTGACATTGACCTGAAAATCACCATGAAAATCTTGTTCCATTACCCACCTACCTTTCCTTTCACCTAATCCTAAGATCCTAAAAGCTTTCCTAAAAACTCTTCCCACCAAAATGAAGCCTACTAAATGCCCAGCAAGAGAAAAAAAAAATGAGGCAAGAAAAGCGAAAAAAGAAGGGAGGAGAAAAAGCGAAAAGTAAAAGTCAAGACTGCTGTGTCACTTTTAAACCCATCTCAAAATTTTGCTTTCTGCGCATGCCCGAACTTCGCAAGCTGATGTTTTGCATCTGGATCAGAAGGCCGCCAAGTGTACGACCTGTAAACCGGTTTGTGGTAAGTTTTAGCCCTTTATAGCACGACAGTGACCAGAAAAGCACTCGACTAGCTTCAAAAAGCGTTTTTCGGCAAAAATCTCCAGGAGCGAATGGGTTAAACCCGGTTGTAAAGAAAAGATCAGATTTTTCATATTTTTTTAAAAGATTTTTTTAAAAAGTGATAATTGTTTGATCCTTCGACTCTCAGCTGCAACTGAATTGTCAACAAGTTTACTGTTCGCATGAAACCAGTTTTCATTTTTGGATGAACAGATGAAAAGATATCATTAGACTCCGATATAGATCGATGAAATCGGTAAAAATCAAGATAAACAGATAAAGGAAACGAGTGTGTCATTGATTTCTACCAATTGATCGATACAATCGATATCAATCAAATCAGTTTTTCCGATTTTTATCGATTCATTCATCGATTGATAAATCGATACCGATTTTTATCGATTGACTACTCCGCGATGTGTACATGTGCCATGCCATCTCATTCATGTCCTATGATGTAAGCGACTGGGAAAGGTTTCCAATTTCACAGGAAGCAATGCTGTATTTTTACCCTGAGAACGAATTTTCGTGTTTTGACTCCTCTCGCGTATAAAATTTTCCTTTAAGCCTCGGAGAAAGTTAAATGAAAGTCAAGAAACGTTGTTGAGTTCGTTTCTTTGACTGGATGTAAGCAGTAACAAATACCGAAAGCTTGCCTTTTTAAATTTTTCTCTCTCTCTCCGGTACCCCTCCCGCCCCCTGTCCCTCCCCCACTAGACTGACGGAACTGGATTAAATCTTGAACATTCATTGCTACTCAGAGTTTCGTGTAGCCTCCCACGCAGACGTTCTCAGGGGTTCTTCACGCGTTCCTGCCCCACTGACAGTGGGGCAGGAACGCGTGACGAACCCCTGCCTCTTGCGAAGCAATCAACAGGCTACGCATTTACAAACGGATATAAAAACTTTTTGAATGAATCAGGAGACGAATGTTGCAAAAGCTCAAGCAGACTTTCAAGAAAGTCCTTCGTCCGATTTAATAAAGCCGCAAAACTTTTCGAACGGATGTTAATAATAGACCTTTTCACGGTTTATGACGCCATCTTGGCAGGGACAAACACGGCTAAAATTACAGTGAATGTATCCATGGGATTTTGGCCCACTTGGAACCGCTATAACGCCGCTACAAAGAGGCGGATTTCCAACATTTGCCACTACACTTTAAATAGTTTTATTGATATCATTCATTCAAAAAAAATAAACCTATTAACGAAAGTACGACATCCGAAAAATTCGAATTATAAATCTTCTCATGTGGCTTCTATTTCATGGTAATTTGCATACTGTTGATTAGAAGGGTTTGTATGAAATCTTAAAAATTCGTTTACGGTCGATTAATTCATCGCCTTAGTTCGCATTGTAATTGCGGTATGGATTTTGTCTCTCTGCTTTAAAAAAGAATTGAACTGAATAACCTAAATCTCTTCCTTATACTTCATGAAAATAATCTCAGTACAAATGTCTTCTAAAGTACTTTTTCACTGTGGAAATCCGCCTCTTTGTAGCGGCATTATAGAGGTTCCAAGTGGGCCAAAATCCCATATAGTCACTGTAATTTTAGCGGTGTTTGCCCCCCAGCCAAGATGGCGTCATAAACCGTGAAAAGGTCTATTTGCCAGCAGATATTTACTGTTTCTTCTAATCCTTTTTTTGTTGGATAAGAATCGAACTCTAACACCAACTTCGATGGTCACATGAAATTTTATGATCGACTTTCATCGATTTCAGATACCTGTCGATTGATTTCTACTCGACATTTATCGACAACGATCGATTTTAATCGACTTTCGAAACTATCGACATGTAACACCCTTTATGGAATGTCCTTATGATACTCCTCTTTTTTGAAATATTAAATTTGCATCGTAAAATTCCTTGTTGTTTAGTGTCTGCGGGGCAAAATAAATCACCGGAGTCATCTTAGTATATCTAACATATTTTCCAACAAGACAACATCGCCAGGATTTCTCACCTTTTGCACAACAGCCGCGGTAGCAAGCTCAGCTCGTCAGCTTCCAAGACTTCCAGGCGAGAAAGTCACGCGATGTCTTGGTATTTTGATTCACCTGAATTTCTTCTCGGAATACAAAATGAACTATTGTAATCACCAGCCAAAGAGAGAGGTTTCAGCCTCACAGATCGAAATGGCCATCAAGGCGTTGAACTGAACTGAAGGTATTTCTGATCACGAGATCAAGTCACTTCCTTGTGAGAAAAAATGTTAGTTTGTACCCAGACGTTACTCTTCTTTGTAGGACCGTGACAAGGTGGGCAAAAGGTTGGTAGGTCGCCAGCCAAGGCAAGGCGTTTTTTTGGTGCGTTTTTCGCTCGTGTTTTGTAAAAAGATGCAGGAATAATGCAGCTGCGCGAAGAGCTGGACCGAGGTTAAACAAGAAAACGGTTGGGGAGGTGCCGAGAAGCTTCTTTCTCTCGGCCCCTTCCACGCGTTTTTTATCGTTTCACCTCGGTTCATCCATCGTTTGGGGCTGACTAGGAGCGCGCGGGCTGAGGCGGGGCCGTATCTGTCGGGGAAGGAGTGGTTTATAATGGGCTTCTAAAGCTCTATATGGTCCCAGTTGCTCAAGAGGTGGATTGCTATCCACCGGAAAAATCACTGTCAGGAGCCGATTCACCACCTGTCAATGCAGTTGGATAGCGACTTATTTGACTGTGTCACTTGTTTCTACGGTTTTCTTAGAGTATTTTGGCCACCCGTCTATCCTCTCTTGATTTAGGTCATGTTCACGCTTGTTTTTTTTTTTACCCCTTCTGGGAAGGTAGTGGGCGGTGGAGACAATATTTAAGAGGGTCCTGCCCCCACTATCTGAACGCCTGAATCAGGCCGGGGGGGCAACTAGGGGTCTTCATGATCAAAATTTCCCCTCAGTCCCGTAATACCAACAGTTAGAAGCAAGCAATTCTGTCAAATATAAAGTCATGTAGGAATTACAAATATTTGTGTGTAATGTGACGAGGTTCGAGTTATGTGCATTTATGGACATAAGTGCAACAAGGTCATTTTTTTCCATATAATGGCTCCTTAATATAACATTTCCGAAACCCACATCTTAGAATCGTTAATTTCGAATCTTGTTATCCTTCTGGTCAAAATCCTAAATTATTGCTTTGAAAAAAAGTCCAAATTCTGGATCTAGAAAAACCAGCTGGGTAATCTGAAACAATACAAGTACCTATATAGGAAGTCAAGCAGCTAGCGAACTTACAGAATTTAAAAACCTCTGATAACTTTCACTCTGGAGTGTTTATTACCTGTCATCTTATTCAGTGTACATTAATATGGCTTCGGATAAACACAACAAAACTATTTTCCACAGGTGAAGAATATATCATTTAAATAATTTTTATGTTACTCCGAATCCATAATTTACCGTTCCTCGTTTTAGGTTAAATTTTACTAAACGAGTTGTAGCAACTACAGATAAGGTCATCTCTTTCACTGCTTTTCACGGTCCGCAACCTTTACTCAGTCAACTTTATTTAATGTGGTTAATCAGCTGACTCTTTCTCTATCTGTCCACCACACAGGCTTCAGCAGGGTGTCGCTACTGCAATTCCTTTCCGTCTTATCTCTAGCCTGTAATACAGTGTCGAGGCGCGGATCCACACCGGTTTCCACCGTTTTACGGAAATCGGTCAGATTTTTCACAATAAATATTACTAAAACCTTTTAACTTTCCAACTGAAATTTGGAAAATGGTTTGGAAAGTCAGAAAATATCCTGTCTAAGTGACTCATAAACCCTAGAGAGGAGATTATGAAAAACTTCCCGGGGATCATGCCGCAAGACCTCCCTTAGAGTAGGGAATTGGTCAGTATTTATTGTAGATCCACGCCAGGTGTCCTCTTGCGGAGAAGAGAAATTGATCTTGATTTAACAAAGCGATCAAATTTCTTTAATGAGCCGAGAGTACGAAAAGTTAAGAAGGGGGATATAGCGATATTTTACAAACATTAAAACACACAGCCCTTCCGTCTACAGTGTAGGTGCCACAAGGCGAACAGCTCCACATGTAACTTTCAATACAAACAAAGCAACGTTCTCAAGTCACGTGGGGTCTGTGTAAGCAATTGGTTCTTCACAAAACATTTCATCAAGCAAAGCAAAGCAAGGATTACAAACTCTGACATTCTGATTGTAGCCAAACGCTGGAATCCTGAAAAAGAAGACATGTCCTCGTTGTTAATTTGTCCACTAAAAGACTATGTGAAGAGATGAGCGCCTCTCTTACTCTCTTCACCGGAAACGAGCTCGTTAGCCTGTAGTGTAACACAGTTTTTCCCACTTGGGAAGGAATGTATGTCTCTTCCCTCAGTGACTCAATTACGAAAGACCGCCACAGAATTTGTGGTCCGGCCAGCGGAGGCTGCTTATCCTATAAACTGGGAAGTTTAAAAACTTAGAGCTCACGATGAAACTTCAACGGCTTAAAATTTCTTATCTTTTAAGATTGCCTCTGTCAGTTTCTGTTAATCAGCAAGAGAGGATATCCTCTCTAGTGATCAGCTGGCCACGAGACAAAAAACTGTGACACCTACAACTGATAATACAGTAAAACATGTTGAACTTACGGAGCTGACTGATCTGTGCAGTTGTGACAGAAAACGCGGCCGCAGCATCGACAATGATGGCGTCTTCTAGTCTACAACAAACACCAAATGCATCTGTGTTAAGCCAATAGAACCCAAACCAATCAAAAGAACAAACACACGTTTTCTAATTTTCTAATCCTGAGAGGTTTGATGTCCATAGAATAACCCTGATTGCGCCTACACTTCCCTTTTCTTGGAAAGGAAATTTGTTCTGTGGACTTCTGGTGTCCGTTTTCGATCGAAAATTAGGTTTATCAATTGAGTTGACATAAGGTAGATATCGTAGAATATGAGCTTCTACGGCACAAATTGGGTATAATGTCTATGAAAATGCAACCTCCTTTCCAGGGCCCCCGCCCATTTTCTAAAGGAAAAGGCTCTGGGAACAACTTTTGCGTGAAAGACACAAAACTTACTTGAGTGAATGGCGCTCGACATTTGTAGTTTGAACAACAGTTAACAAGCTGCGAAAAAAATACCTGGATTAAAAAGTGGTTAAGACTAACCAATCAACAGGCGTGTGATAGCAATCAAGTCAACAATACGGGGATTGAAAAGATGTGGGAACTTTGCTGTATCGGCACAATATGAAAAAATAAGGTTCGAAATATATTTACGTTTTATTTGAATTCAAACAAACAATTTTTTACTTCTCGGGGAGTAATAATAATAATAATAATAATAGTAATTTTATTACTTGTAACGGACAAATTCGCATATGAATGTATATCATATAGGCTGATTTATATTAAAAGAGTCTTAACTAAGGATTTAAAAGTAGTAAAATTCTTTTCGTGTCTTGTGTGACGAGGAAGGGCAAAAACCAGTTCCTGGTGTCGGATTTTCAGTAGCAGGTCTAGATTGCGATTTGAAAGTTTTTTAGTTTATTGTTTCATAGTGATATCGATTTTACTTAATGCTACATTTTGAAAAACTTCAATCCAAAGTCAGTCAGTGGTGAACATTTTATAGCGATCGGACCAGGATAAAATCACTTTTTAAGCGATGGAAAGATATCGGTATGGTTTTCGAAAAACTGTATCGAAACACCTTAAGTAAACAGTTTATTGTATTTGTCCTCTATAAGCCCCAATATCTCAGTACAGTCTATAGGTCTATTCTTACCTCATCTGGTACCCACGATAATCTGAAAGTGTTTTGTAAATGTAGTACCTGGGCTCGGTCCCTCTCTGCTTGATTAAGCCGTGCGTTTGCCTGGAAAAAGAGACTATTTGCTGCACAGTGTACAAGTAACAGACGAAAAACTGAATACAGACGTACTGAAAGACCTGAAATCTAGCCTAAAACTAACCTCGTGAATAGCTGCTTCCGTTTCCTGACGAATTTTGGCCATTTTGTTGACAAATGTAGCTTCACACTGCATCAAACCACAAATAAGAATTTTTTTAATATCAGCAGAGGCGTTCCAATATCACGTTACGAATGTGTTCTGTAAATTAACTTTCCCACAAAAGAGTGAAAAAAAAACCCCGACTAATTCGATGAATTCACACCAAAAAGTACAGGAATACATCATAGGTAAGTCTCCTTTATTTACTTTATAGAAAAAAAGTAAAAATAATGATATTTAGCGTGCGCAGACCTCAGTATTTTATTTCTCATACAAATTCTCAACGGTTGCTTGTAACGCGACACTGACTCTCTTGTGAGAAAGTTAATTTACATAACACACTCGTACCGTGAGCTTGGGACGCCTGTGATATTAGTGAACAATATGACAGCAGAAGAAAGAACACGGTAAAACCTTTTGTTACAACTATGTTCAAAAAGATTTTCCGCCCGGCCAAACTTCATCTTCCTTTAAACAGATCTTTTTGGAAAAGCACAGAACACCGTAAAGTTAAGTGAATGATCACGACAAAACCCTCAAGTAATAACCCGGTCACGTTTGTCACACAAATCTTTTTGCCGACCTCTTCTTTCTGCCCTGTTGTTGAAAGGAGACTTTAGCCTTGAAGCGCGCAGACCATAGTTTGTACTCGACATGCGCTGAACTTTATTTCATAAATGCATTGTGCACTGTACCTTCAACTCCGCTAGATAATTTTGATATTCTAGAAGCCGTGAAACCAGCCTCGGTCCCAGGGCGCTTTCCTCGCCCTTCCCACATTTGAAGGAAAAAGCGCTTTGATGACGTGAGGCACCTCCACAGAGAAATCAATTTACACATGCAGGAATCAAGTGCCTGGCCTTTCTCACGCTAGCTATGGAGCAGAGAGCAAATACCCGTNAGACGAAAAACTGAATACAGACGTACTGAAAGACCTGAAATCTAGCCTAAAACTAACCTCGTGAATAGCTGCTTCCGTTTCCTGACGAATTTTGGCCATTTTGTTGACAAATGTAGCTTCACACTGCATCAAACCACAAATAAGAATTTTTTTAATATCAGCAGAGGCGTTCCAATATCACGTTACGAATGTGTTCTGTAAATTAACTTTCCCACAAAAGAGTGAAAAAAAAACCCCGACTAATTCGATGAATTCACACCAAAAAGTACAGGAATACATCATAGGTAAGTCTCCTTTATTTACTTTATAGAAAAAAAGTAAAAATAATGATATTTAGCGTGCGCAGACCTCAGTATTTTATTTCTCATACAAATTCTCAACGGTTGCTTGTAACGCGACACTGACTCTCTTGTGAGAAAGTTAATTTACATAACACACTCGTACCGTGAGCTTGGGACGCCTGTGATATTAGTGAACAATATGACAGCAGAAGAAAGAACACGGTAAAACCTTTTGTTACAACTATGTTCAAAAAGATTTTCCGCCCGGCCAAACTTCATCTTCCTTTAAACAGATCTTTTTGGAAAAGCACAGAACACCGTAAAGTTAAGTGAATGATCACGACAAAACCCTCAAGTAATAACCCGGTCACGTTTGTCACACAAATCTTTTTGCCGACCTCTTCTTTCTGCCCTGTTGTTGAAAGGAGACTTTAGCCTTGAAGCGCGCAGACCATAGTTTGTACTCGACATGCGCTGAACTTTATTTCATAAATGCATTGTGCACTGTACCTTCAACTCCGCTAGATAATTTTGATATTCTAGAAGCCGTGAAACCAGCCTCGGTCCCAGGGCGCTTTCCTCGCCCTTCCCACATTTGAAGGAAAAAGCGCTTTGATGACGTGAGGCACCTCCACAGAGAAATCAATTTACACATGCAGGAATCAAGTGCCTGGCCTTTCTCACGCTAGCTATGGAGCAGAGAGCAAATACCCGTCATTTTCTGCTTATTTAGCACACCGAGCGTACTGGAAAAAACTGTCACTGAGATATGTATGATGGCCGAGAACTGCCAATCAAAAAATCCGCATATTGAAGGAATATGAGTTTAAGACCTCGTTTAACGTACATCTGCATCGCTCCTTTAAGAAGGTGATCTTCCTTCCACGATGAAAACCTATTATCCGCCATCTTCGAGCTTCCTCGAGAGAAAGGGTCGTAAACACAA